TATATATATATATAGATATATATATATTATTCCTTCAATGGCCTTGGCCCTTTAAGTCGGTAATTTCTAATAAAATGCCATAGACATTGCTAGCTGGACCCAAACCTGACATCGGTTTTCTCCAGGCACGAGTTTGGACTTTGAAATTTGTTTGGGAATATTCAAAATTTTCTCCTTTTAGTAATCATTCTAAAAATCATAGTTGAAGCGATTTCTATGTAGTTAATTCGACCATCATTTCAAATAAATCTTAGTTTTTATTTATTAAATGTTTATTTAATTATAATTAAAATTTTAGATACTTAAAATTAGATATAAAAACATCTACATCCTGACTTAAAATAATTCTAAATATAGTAAGTTAGTAACTAAATTTAGTTAAATTAAAATTATTATATTTTAATTTTAATTTCTTTTCAAACGATTTTCACTATTTAGAGTTTAAGGTCATCTAATTTTCAGTAGTGTCAATAATATCAATTTAAACAAAATAATAATATTAAATAATTTTAAAAAAATGAAACTAAACTATTTAAAAATAATTAAACCAACTTAAATATTAAAACTAAATAGAGACTAAAAATATAATAATTATAAATAGTATTAAAAAAGTAGAAAATTATAAAAATATAGTAAACATTTATCTATTATACAACGGAAACACAAATTATGACGCTTTTTCATGTTCACTTTTTCCTGGACAATTTTACCCTTAAATCTATAAATAATAAATAATATTAAAAATTAACTAATTGTATAACTACTCATAACTATTCAATTTCTTAATTACCTTTTCAGTTAAGTTCAACTTTTATATTATTTTGATGTGCATGTAAGTTTAATTCGAACTCCGAAACAATGCTTAAATATTTTAAAATGTGAAGCAGGTAAGTTGATTGGGAGAAATTTTCGGAGAATAATATCGGAATTAAAGGCATTACTCATTGTTTTATTAGAAGAGAGAAGGGTGGGAAGTTGAGTGAAAGGAGTGATCCTGGCATTTAGCATCATGGATGTCCTGGTTTCATCCTGGCATCTGATGAAACGTTACTTTTAATATACTGCGCCAGTAATTTGATACCGAATGCAGTGCGCATTACCATCATAGAAGAAGAATGAGTATTTCACAGCCAAAGCGCGCAATGATGATAATAAATAAATAGTATAGTTTTGTGATAAACTAGTATTTGATGTGTGAACCATTGACTTGTCCCCTCTTTCCTTTCCATTCCATTAGTTAAGAATTGAGATGGAAATGGAAGTGAATGTGGTTGGCAATTGGCATGAATGATTATGAGGATCAAATCAAAATAAACCTCAAGCAGAGTGCAAAGACAGAGATACAGACTAGTCTACAGTAGAAGATCCCTTTGATTCTTTTCATAATGCCCCATTAACATTAATGTACACTACCTAATCATCACATTCACACCTCCCTCTCTCTTTCCC